CTCTTGGCGGCCTTGATTTTCAAGGCTTTCGAAGAAGTCTTAAGCTGAAAGCTAATCTTGCTGGCGCGCTTCATGCCTGGCTCTTCTGAGCCCGGCACGTTCAATGAAAGAACGAATAAATGTTCATCGCCTTTAGTCTCAGCCCAGAAGGTCCCAGCTCCGGGCTTCTTCCATTTACCACCTTGGCACGTCTTAAGATATTGAACGTCAACAAGAGGTCCTTTAGACCCGTGCAGACGTTCAACCTTGGCAGCTAGATCTTTAGCACGCAAAACAGGCTCTCGAAAGCACACATCAAGTTGTGTTGCGGGGCCAGCATTCCCACTAAGATGCGCGGTGGCCTGTTTGAGTGCAAGCTTGAATGCTTGCACAGTCTGTTCAACTTTACCAGCTTCTTCCTTAGTGTACTTAAAAACTTGCACATCTCCAACCTGAATGGCTACAGGCTGCTGGGTGACGGGGAAACTCGGCTCAGGGTCCGCACTAGGCGACTCTTCAGCCGGGAGCTCTGTCGACAGAGTCGTCGCACGGCAAGGCGTTTGAGCATCAAGTCTGGCTTGAGCTTCGCCAGCCCACTGCATGATCCTAGCTACTGCAAGCTCCGGAGTCGGCAGAGAATCTGTGCCTGCTGTTGCAATCCTACCTAGCTTCTTCAAGACTTGCGGCGTGGTGGCTTCCTCTTCTTGGTTGCCCGCCTCTTGCGGGGGTGTAACGGAACCTTCAAAAACTTCCCTCGGGCTGCAGTCTGAATCCGAGACACAGTCCTGTGCTTTACGTTTGACCTGGGATGATCTGCCGTCAGATTCGTCCAAGCCTGCGGGATCTTGCTGCGAAGTAGCCTGCTGCGAGCCATGCCTCGACTCCGACGTTGGCAGAGTCATTGACTGCATCAGCATCTGGTACTGCTGATACTGCTGCTGCAGCTGCTGTTGCTGCAAGAGAAGGAAGTTGTGATTGAAACGGTTCATGGCGTCAACAAGCGGTCCTACTACACGCCTACCTCCTCGCGATCCAAGATACCTGAGCGTGAAAGACGCCTTGGAGGGAATAATGCGAGTCGCTTCCGTTGTCCAGAAAGGGGTCCGAAGGTTTCCTACGGTCAGTGCGTAAAAAAAAAAACGTGGGACAAAGCAACTTGCACGCGACACGGCAGGAGACACAGCAACACAGAACCAAACAGAAGGAAAACAAACGGTAAATGCCGAGACCGAAAAACACCTCCCAGGGGCCCATCGGCAAACCACTGAAGAAGTTCCGCTCACTCACAGCGGCCAGTGGAAGCCTCAGGTAACCTCAAGGGTGAGCCGGCAAGAAAGCAAACATCAGGAAACGAACAAACACCAGACAACACCTCCCAGGGGCCCATCGGCAAACCACTGAAGAAGTTCCGCTCACTAACAGCGGCCAATGGAAGCCTCAGGTAACCTCAAGGGTGAGCCGACAGGAAGGCGAACATCAGGAAACGAACACCAACGCCAGACAACACCTCCCAGGGGCCCATCGGCAAATCACTGAAGGAGTTCCGCTCTCTCACAGCGGCCAGTGGAAGCCTCAGGTAACCTCAAGGGTGAGCCGACAAGAAGGCGAACATCAGGAAACGAACACCAACGCCAGACAACACCTCCCAGGGGCCCATCGGCAAACCACTGAAGGAGTTCCGCTCTCTCACAGCGGCCAGTGGAAGCCTCAGGTAACCTCAAGGGTGAGCCGACAACAACGTGGACAGGGTGTCCATCTTCTCCAAAGCCCACCGCACAAGACGTAAGATTTGGCCAACCCGAGGGGCAACCGGTCTAGGTTTCACATGTCCAGGCGAAAAACTTCAAACCACGTGACTTCGCTGGAGCTGAAAAGAATCAGAGGCATTGGTCGCTGCGTCGCAGTCTACATATAACTATATGCAATATGAAGCTATCCTCAACGACCGTATTGAACACGGCAGGGGATGCCGTGATACAATAGCATAATTGGTGCTACATAAGATAGCACCGAGAATTAGTTTTATAATAAAACTTTTTTATGATAAAAGTTTTACTATAAAAACTTAATCTTTGTATTAGTATATGGGTGATAAACCTGAGTTCAAACAAGATGTCATGCTGAGACTAGAGAGGATAGAGAGATTACTAAATGAAAGACCCACGAGAAACTTTAACAGAACGCCAGTTGATGCAACGTATGAAAACAAGAAGAATGCATATTTGACTAAACTGAACAACAAGGACATTTTACAACCGAAACCTACAACCCTTGAATATTACAAGATAAAGTATGACGAAGAGACGAAAACCTACTCGTAATATTATCATCTAATAATAATGAGTGCATTAGATGATAATATTTCTGTTGAGTTTCCTACAGGTAGTGATTGTAAAACACAGTACATGCAATGTAAAGCATGTAAGCAAGTAAAATATGTAGATGAGTTTGTAAGTAAGCACTCCAAAAGAGTATACAATAAAGCGTGTAGATCCTGTCTGGATGTTAGTAGAAAATCTAGTTTTAAAGTGGAGGAATGATCACAGGGAGTTTTCTTATGGAATGGTTCTTAAGAAACACACTTAAAGAAATAACATCTTAATATATTATAGTGGAAATGAGTGACAGTGAATATGCAAGTGAGAATGAATATGAAAGTTCATATGAAAGTTCATCTGATGATGAAACAGAAAATTTTTATTATGAACTAAAGAAGTCCAATTATTTCAATAACTGTACTTCATGTAGACCAGTTAAGAACAGACAGCAAATATTACTAGGTAAATGCGATGCCTTACATGATTTAACACATATGGTTACAGACTACTATGGCTGTGATAAATGTTGTAAGTTAAGGAATTTGTTTGATGATTATATATTACCCTTTACTAAATTATGTAAGTATCCAGAATATGATGAAGTTCATAAGATAATCCAAAATTATATTGGTAAGGACAAACATACGCTTGAATTACACAGTGAAATAAAAACAATGTATGAAAACATAGATAAGTTTAATTTCTATAAATGGCATCAGGAGAAAAAGAATTATTTCAATGATAGTGGCTATTTTTGGTATTATCAAAGAGTACATAAGTTCTTCATTGAAATAATATGGCATTTACAATATAATAAAAACAGAGACAAACAATTGCATTATGAATACTTAGAAGCGACGACAGAGTTCTTAAATTATATGATAGTGCAAAATTCTAATTGAGCGTAACATAGTCTACCAATAATAATTTAATTCTATTATTAAATTATTATTGAAACCCCCCAACTACCCCATACTATGAACCATAAAATGAACAAACCTAACCTTGCCCAGTTTAGGATACTACATCACCTGATAAATAGAATGAGATAGAGTATTTTAAGGATAATGAGCTACTAGTTGTGATTACATGGCCTATGTAGGTTTACGGTGATGTAATATCCCAAACTGGGCAAGGCCTATCCTAACTGATGTACGGCTTAAGGTCTGGTGCATTCGGATGTTGAGCTCTGGAACTCGTTCGTAGGATTTAGTTTTTGTTGTTTCGTGTGGGTTTAGGGTTTAGGGTTTAGGCATTCTTGTGGGTTTCGGTTTAGGGTTTAGGCTTCCTTCCTCGGTGTTTTCAATCGAGCGTGCTTTGTGCAAGGAGTTCTTGTTGGGGTACAGGGTGCTTTTCGTGTTGTTTGGGTAGCCTCTTTCCAAGATTTTACTCAAGGGCGTGCATTGGCCTCAAGCCACGCAGCAAAGAGGAATGGTTGTAATTCCTGCTCCTAGGCGGTTCTTGTGATTATCCTATCACGCTTAGACTAGAAAACCTGGAAACCTCATCGTGAGCAGCGGATAATGTTTGCTCTTGATTTCTGCGAAATTGAATGCAGGGCCACTAGAGAGGTACGGGCTTTCTACGGGCCCTGTAATCTGCACCTATGTAGGGCCAATCGAAGCCAAAGTATGTACCGTATGAATACACGGGCCGTTGCGGGAATGAGGAGAGGCACTCCCTCTGCAGCCCGTCACTCGACGCGCGGTATCGGCAAATGCCGTCCTTCATTACTATGGGGGTCGTGTCCGAGCCGGCAGTGGAGCAAGGCTTCACGCCGCAAGCGATGCCGCTCGCCACGCCAGGCGGGCCACGACGCTGACGGACGATGAATGGACGACGCAAGTCCGCCCGACCTCCCCCGAATCAACATGCAGATCTCCACTGCTCTGCAAGGGCTTTGCAAGAATGAGATACGTTGCACACGCCACCAGCATACTGGGCGTCCATACACCAGGCTACTTTGCACATGAACTAACCCTAAACCCCAGACCCTAAACCCTAAGCTGAACCCTGGCTCCGTTAAAGAATGGCAAACCGCGAGGCACCAAACCCGACCATGATTTGACTGAAACTCGCCACCCAAACTTGACAGACTTTTCATGGACGAAAGCCTACAGCAACTAACGTACCCGAAACTATGGGAGTTGTGTTAACCCAGAACCGGCAGCGAAGGACTTCGCACCCCAGCAATATTGTAATTAACACGTGAGGTACAGGAAGTGCCAGAGAAGAGAGAGAATGAGCTGCACAGCTAGGAGTCGATATTAACATCGCAGTTGCTCTTTGGGCATTGCTGCTGATTTGTCGGCTTGTTCAGTCCATCACAAGGGCCTGAAAACTACCTTTACAACCGTGACACCTCTACAGGGTCGGCACGGGCGACGTCTTTCATCCCACCTAGACCACAGAAACCCTAAAGCCCAGCCCGGCAAGGTAGCAACTTTGAGGTGTATAGCGGGTTTCAACAACCCAGACACTCATCGTCGACCTGAACGTATTATAGAAGCATCCTTATAACAGGCCTTAACATGATTCAAGCTATACCAGAACGCCCGAACATTGCATGTTGGGTTTCTGTCATGAGAGCCTGTCTCATTGTTGGTTCCCTGAGGTTTTGGGGGTTCAATATTCAAGCATTCCCTAATTTCAGGGGTTGCTGGGGTCGCCGACAGCTGCCAGCCTTTCGCATCCCTCGGCTAGGCGAAGAAGATCCGCACGAAAGTTCGCTTCTACCGGCCGAAGACCCTCATCAAGGCCTTGCATTCTGGAGGTCCCTAAGAGCCCAGTAGCCTGTTAGTGGATTTGGGGTCTTGAGCGCCATGAGGATTACAGAGAACCGTGAGAGTAACCCACGGTACAGGGAATTGGGAGCTTAGTGTATGTTGCAAAGGATGGGAACAAGCTCTTTTTTTTCAAATTTAGCTTTTTTGGTTGTAAGTTAAAGGCATGTTCGGAGAGGTTCCATACAGTTTTTGTAACCCTAAACCCTAAACCCTAAACCCTGGTGCTGTGTGTCTTTGGCAGGGCTGCCTTTCGGAGGCGAACTTCCGACAACGGGAACTATGATCCCTTTCTGGGTCCCTAATACAGTACGCCAGCTAATATTCAGGGTACCCAAAAAGGGACCATAGTCTTGACAACCACCCACTTACCGGGCTTTTGTTTGAGGGTGCCCTTAACCTACATAATTTCTATATATGTGAGGAGGTGAACTTATCTTCAGCCTTCTGGCGGTTGTAGAGTGCTGCCACAGTTGGAATGACCTTGTTTGGGCCGGTGTTTTAGCGGATGGGGCAATCCTGTTGCCCTTAGAACCTATATGTCCCAAACCCGAAATTCGAGTCCTGTCTGGATGTTCGGTGCTCCATAAAGCATAGTTGCCATAATACGAGCCCACGGGCTTCTGCTTGTGGGTCTAGGGGCTTATCGTCCTACCTCGATCTACACCCAGAACCCGCCAGCTCCATCGTCCGAAGTTCAAGTTCTAGCGACCACAACATGTTGATGCACTGGAATTTCTGGGTTGCTAAAAATCGATTCCCGAAGCCGTTAAAGTTTCATTCCGAAACTCCTGAACTCTCAAAGCCCTCTAAATCCATAAACGCTAAACTCCTAAACCCTAAGGCCATAAACTCCTAAATCGGCCGTAGCTCAGGCGCGGGACCCGAAGTACCCGCGAAGGTCCGTGGAGCTGCGACCCCGGCGATGAGGTTTGGGCGTTTTAGGGTTTAGGGCTTAAGTCAGAGAGTAGGCCTGGCTTTAGGGTATACCTAGACCCCCAAACACCTACCTTTTTGAAGGACTTCTATATAAGGAAATCATAGTAGGCAGCCCGGAAGGATTTATAGGGTCCAGGTAGGGCTTATAATATCATAATAGGCTTCCTTATTATGATTTCTTAATATAAGTCCCTAAAAAGGCAGGTTTTATAGGGTCGAGGTAGGGCTTTATAATAGTATTCTAGGCTTCATGGGTGTGAGGGCCCAAGGTTCCTGGCAGTTCATCTTGAACCTGCGCATCATGGCTCTAAGGAGTCGTGGCGACAAGCTCGACAAATACCGCATCATCCAGTGACTGGGACTGCATGTAGTGATGTGTCAGCTAAAAGTCGTAAGGTTTCCATGGAAGCATATCCAGTTTCAGGTGGCGTAGAGGACATGCCCAATTATGGACGTGTGTTGCCACATCCCGAAGACTCTCCAAAACCATGTCGTTCACAGCACACCCCACAAGCAAAATGCACACTCGTGTTGCTACCATGCACTCAACCACTAGCCGCTATCACTAGCCTCTCTCCGATGCTTTCCTGCTTCAAGATGATGGACGAATGCAGCACCCAAAGGCGGGGCGGAGTTGGAGCCTGGTCTATACCATTCGTAATTAGCATCACTACTTGAAGGATCATGGGACTTAGTAAGTAGGTTATAACTGGGGTTATAAGTCCCCTAAGTGCGGTTATCCTAATTATAACCTAATTATAACCTTACTTACTAAGTCACATGAGCCTTTAAGTACCGCAAACAGCTAAAAGTGGAGTTCTTGGTGGGAAGCCTCAGAACCACGGCAGGTTGATGAGTCGTTCACAGGACTGACTGGTTCTTAGCAATGGGTTGTGGAGACTCTTATTGGGGATTATATAGGGGCTACTGAAGGGATCGATTCACACACTCCCTACTAAGCACCAGGCAGATGATGCGGGTGATACATGCGGGTTGAGAAGAATTAGGTCGATGAAAAAGGATGAGAATGGACTGCTCCTGATGAGAGCCTGAGTGACGACCAGTGTGCTAGGATCGCTACGTACACCTTCGCGACAAGCCCTCAATTCTCAATTCTCAAGCCGCCTAAACCCGGATCCCTCCAAAGATCCAGACGTAGAATCCAAAAAAGATATCCTACCTAGACCCTCCATCTACCCTCTACCACACCCTAAGTACTCATTATTTGGGACCATATACCCCTGTTTGAGGGTACAAGGAGGGTCCTGGTACTGTTCTAGTTTCAACACTTTCTATTCCTCTCGCAGAAGTCTTACCAGGTGCCCGGTCACCACGGAGTCTGCCATGAAGAAGATCGAGGATACCGGATCCAATGCTTAGTCTTGGGGCCTTAGCTATTACCCAAAGGGTCCAAAGTACCTATACAGTAGAATGTAGGGTTTCTATATTATAGAGGAATTACTATTATGATTTAGGGAGGTATCCCCCATAACAGTACCTGGGACCCTTTGGGTTAGGATAGGGGTTGGGGGTATACTCATTACAAACCTGTACATGTGCTACGTGATATTACTTATTACTCCTTTGTAGTCCTCAATACATTTTGCACCAAAGCCTCGCGGCCACAAGTACGGTTGATGATAAAAATCCTGCATGACCCATAATAAGGAATATACCATAGTTCCCATAGTTCAGGGTCCTTAAGGTAATGCAGGATTTATATCATCAACCGTATGATTTAAGATCAACCCTGAGTTAAATGCTTCGCTCAAAACTTAACAGTTCAGCTGATCGAGATGCACAAGTCATCTGTAGCTTTGCTTGTCACAGACCTCCGTCCGCACCACACCAAAATCCAAGTTCGGACGTTAGGGGCCCTGTATTACCCAGACCTCCCCTGTATGGCTAGGGTTCGTTTTGAATTTTAGTTCTGTGGTCAGTGTATATACGCAGGTTTAGATTGTGTGTTTTGGCATCTCGGGTGCTTGAGGGCTTTTGGATGCTGTAGGGTTTGGATTTAAGGCTTTGAAGGCTTTGGTGAGGGTGGAGTGTTTTCGAGTGTGGGTTTAACAGTTCTTCCAAATAACCCGAATCCTAACCCCGAATCCCAAATCCTAGTCCATTTAACCGCACACCCTAGACCCCCAACAGCCTAAATTAGATCCCAAACCCTACACCCATAATTTGTTTATAGTGTTTTAAAGGTTCTACACCTTTTTGAAAAATGTTAAACCCACTTTTTTAAGAATCTTAAGTTCCTTTTTTGGAATCTTAAGCTCCTTCTTCGCCATGGATGCGAGGAGATCAACACCTTGGTCTTCCTCGTCGACCTCAAGGAAAGATCTCACCTGAAGAGTTGAAACGATGCTAAGTGGGTTTAGGGGATTCAGGGGGTTTAGGGTGTAGGGGTTTAGGGGGTTTAGGGGCTTAGGGTTTAGGGGGTTAGGACCGTCGTTTAGGCGATGTTAAGTTTCTGAAATTTGTGGTAGCTTATTTTGGCTCCTCATAATAAGGATCCTTCTATTTTGGGTACTATGTTAGGATCCCCTATTTTTGGCAACTCCCAATTGGGTTTGCAGAGTGTCATAAGGTTTCTTGTCTAACAGGCCGACAAGGGGTTCTACATCGCTTCGATGCGGAGTTAAAGAGTCCATAAGGTTCAAAACCTTAAACCCTATACCCTAAACACTAAGGCTTCTAAGGGGCTTATACGGGTTCTCAACGGGATGCCAAAGAGTCGCAGAAGGCTTAGATCATCAGGAATCTGGGAATTGCAGCCGCTTTCCTCAAGGCCACAACCGACCCTGGGTCGGGTTAACAATCACTGGCTTCCCAAGCCCATCAAAACCCAACTATAAACCCTAACATAGGGGCTTGGCGGCTCCCTATTCTGACGTATGGAAACCACCATCCAATGATCCTAGATCCTCCTTCTACACTAGACACCAGTCCTCGCTGGGCGTCCCAATTGCTCCTGTCCGAGTGCAGGTCCTTCTGTCCCGACAAAACCCCCAGAGAGCCCAACACCCCTTAATTAAGGAATATACCTTAAATTATAAGAGGGTTCATATTATGATTTAAGATATATTCCTTAATTAAGGGGTATTGGGCTCTCTGGGCCCTACCTTAACCCAAGACTTATACAAGGAAGTCACGACAAAAGAGCCCCCATCATAACAAGGACTCTCCCGTAGATTCGGACCTAACCCACCTTTCGAAAAGACTTACAAGAAGAGATCCCGAAGCGCTAACCCTAAATCATGAGAAACCCCATTCATGATGAGGAACCCTGAGCCCTAAATCATACCTGGACCCCCCCAGCTACCTTCTCACATACCCCAAATACCCGCTATTACAGCCCATAAGGGCTCCATTAAAGGGTAAACCCTGAACCCTAGGCCCTAAACTCCAACATATAGATCCCCAGTAGCATAGTCAGGAACCCTAAGCCCTTCAGAGCGATGGCACTGAATCATGGGACTCAGTAAGTAAGGTTATATGTACCTTAATTTGGGTTACAAGCAACTACAAAGTATAGTTACCTTACTTGTAACCCTAGTTACTAAGTCCCATGATCCTCTCAATACCCATCTAGAACCCTTACTAGTAACCCTTGTAGATCCCTTAAAGGAAGCCCTTAAAGGAACCCTAGGCCCTAGTTACTAAGTCCCATGATCCTCTAAATATACCCACAATACCCATCTAGAACCCTTACTAGTAACCCTTATAGATCCCTTAAAGGAACCCCTTAAAGGAACCCCAGGCCCTAGTTACCAAGTCCCATGATCCTCTAAATATACCCACAATACCCATCTAGAACCCTTACTAGTAACCCTTATAGATCCCTTAAAGGAACCCCTTAAAGGAACCCCAGGCCCTAGTTACCAAGTCCCATGATCCTCTAAATATACCCACAATACCCATCTAGAACCCTTACTAGTAACCCTTATAGATCCCTTAAAGGAACCCCTTAAAGGAACCCCAGGCCCTAGTTACCAAGTCCCATGATCCTCTAAATATACCCTCAATACCCATATAGAACCCTTAATAGTAACCCTTATAGATCCCTTTTCAGGAACCCTTTAAGGGAACCCTAGTTACAAAGTCCCATGATCCTCTAAGCAGGCGACGAAGCCGAAGATCAAGGAGGCTTTGCTTTTTCAGAAACCGCTGCTGAAGGGTTTTTTGCAATATGGGAGTTTCCGGAAATTGGGGGGGTGTACCTTAACTTTTTTGGGATCCTTAATATGGATTCTACTATTTAGGGTACTATATTTACTATATCAGGGCTCCCCCCATTTTCGGAAACTCCCATAAGATTCGGGCTTTAGAGCTTGGGGTTTAGGTCTTGGGCGTTGTAGGTCAGGGTTTCGGGGTTTAGGGATTTAGGGTTTAGGGTTTAGGGTTTTAGTTTCTTTGGCTGGGGTTTAGAGGTTCACAGGTTTTATGCTTGGGCCGCTTTTTGGTCTTAACTTTACCTCAGTGCCAGAGATAAGAAGTGATAGGCCCCTGTGCTCGAGGCAGATACCTGAAAAGCCTACAGTAAACCCCATAAAGTTGGAAACCGGATTAAGGCCAAATAGTGCTGGGAGTCCCCATTGTGTGCTCTTAAGAACTGAGGCTATTCGGTTTCCAACTTTCGGGCTTCTACTGTAAAACCAAAATCCCAGGAAACTTGTTTAAATTCACGGACATCCTTCCATGCAAGGATTTTTTAAAAGTCTGTGGGCATTCGGGGAAAAGGCCGTGAAGCAGCTCTATGACGTGAAGTGCGCGAAGGTGAACACTCTTATCCGACCCGATGGGCAGCTGATCTCCATTTCTTAATCGTCGTAGTGGGGGAACGTTGTGTTGCCTAAGCCCTAAATCCTAAACCGCTTAGGGTTTAGGGTTTAGTTTAGGGTTTAGGGAGGGAGGGTTTAGGGTTTAGGGAGGGAGACGGAGGGAGGGAGGGCTTGTTTGTTGAAATCAGCTCCTGGTTGATTGTACATCGAGGGTGTTCTGAGAGGCATACTAGCACTTACTCGTAAAAGCCTACGCACGCTTCATGCAAATAGCACTGCAGCCTCGGCACTAGTGTTGTGTGCCTCAAGTGGTTTAAACCTGCAGGTTAGTTTGCAATAAGGTGGTTCTATGTGGTATATGACGCTTATACGAACTTGTACGAGTCACAACCCTAAGCCTCCACTTGCCCCGCAACTGGGCCCTAACCCCTTAATTAGTCATACTCGGGAGCTCTGAGTCCTAAGCATTCGATGCGCCCCTGACTCACAAATCTCAAACGTTTAGGATAAACCCCAAGGGTCCAAAGGACCCAATAATCAGGTACTCGGTTTTAGGATAGTAATTATGTAGGTTAGGATTTTGGAGAGTATATGATTATCACGTACTTGGACCCTTGGGGTAAGGGTTTCGGAGCACCACGCATCCCAGATCCCAAAACCCCCATTCTCAAAAATGTGAGCCTCGTCGAATATCAGGGGGTATTTCCTTTGGGGTGGCGTCGAGCGGCCAGATTGTAAGTTGCATGTCTTACAGCCCTTGCAATATGTAGAGGATTGGATTGACAGTTGACCGGTGATTTAGGGTAAAGCTGCTTCCTATGCAAGCGGGGTTTTGCAGGTCGTTGAGCTGCCTGCAGTAGATCTCCAACATAGGATCATGTCTGTTGCGCACGAAGTAGACCCTAAACTGCTGCAGCTTTTCTTGTGTAACCATGTATAACCATCTTTTCTGCTGCTTAGAGCAAGGCAACCGAAACAAGGCCTATAGTTGCTATAGGAATCTGTCAGCTAAGGAAGAAGAAGGCCTACGTGCGCCTCACGCAGGACTACGATGCCCTGGATGTGGCCAACCGAATCGGTTTCCTGTCGGAATCTAGATTAGGATTTAGGGGTGGTTTGGGCTTAACGAACGGGCTTGGGATGCCGAAAACCTGGGGCCCCTGGGGCCTGGAAAAACCCTACTGATCTGCACAAATTCCGAGAAAACCGCATGCTGCTACTGGTACCTGATAGGATTGGGGGTCTACAGTTTACGGTTTCGGGTCTTATTTTTTCTGATTGTACACGGGTTCTTCCAGCGTGCTGTGATGCTGTCATGGTGCGGCTTATGGTACCCTCAGAGCGCAGTTACCTACACGTGGGTTTCCTGAGCCATGTGGCTAGAAGGTTAATATAAGGTGTAAGAAACAGTAACTTTGGTGAAGGCAAGACAAAATCTGTCGTGACCGTTCAGCAGGCGTGACACTGCATTACCCGATGTTTGATTGAAAGACTTGCAAGTCTTATCTCTTGAAAGTCGTCGCAAAACCCTGAAATCCCAAACCTTCAACCCTAAACCCTGCATAGAGCCCTAGACTTAGACCCAAAACCGGTTTAGGATTCCTGATAAGGTGTTGGTAGGATTCCTAATTGTCGCCATATCCGGTTCTACTGCAGGTTTCTATGCAGACTACAGTAGGATTCCTATCGGGTGCACATCAGGTTCTACCAAAGAGTAGGACCCAGAACTAAACTTTGCATGGTTGAGTGTCAAGCCATAAACAGTGGAACCGAAGCTGCCGAGGTATCATCTGATGTGGGTGGCTATGGTGAGTGCGAAGGCAGTGGCAGTCGACGGCTTCGCGTAGTTCGGCTAGAGGGTTTAGGGTTGAGATTTCAGAGTTTACGTTTTCGGGTTTCACTTGGTTACCTATCACCGAACCTACTTTATTTGTGTTGCACCCTGTGATTATGGGGCTACGAATATATATTTATATATATATATATATATATATATCGCGGTTTGTAATCGCCCCGTTTTACCATCCTTGCATGGCTTTTGTCTATGGCTACAGCGCAAGTTTATGTTCTCACAGTTAAGCCCCCGGCATATTGCGAGTTCTTTCCAAGTCCTAACTACTTGCGGTGGTTTCCTTTCGGCGTTTAGTGTTTCGTTTAAGGTTTTGGGTTCACGGTTTAGGCTGTTGGAATTCAGCGCTAGTGCTTTTGGCTTGGCATCTAGATTCAGGATTCCGGCATGGTTTTCTTTTGGGGGCGAGTGTCCCGTACCCTTTGACTTACTTTCATGGCACTCTGTAACAGAATCCTACAGTTGAACACAGAGCCTTCTTTCAACACAGCGAGTTTGGAGCGGACAGACCGGATCCCGAAAGATACTTCGTGAATCCGTAATTAGAGTAGGTAACCTTTGACCTTTTTAAGGTACTATACCTGTGTAATGTCACTATACTCCCAACGGTGAACCTGTGGTTCCTCAGGATACTGGAGAAGTAAGATCCAACCCTCTATATATATATATATATATATATATATGTACACATCAAGCCCTAAGTGGGCTCACGCCCAGTTCCGAAGCGCTACATTGCAACGCAAAGGCCGCAACCTGTAAACCCGGCCCAGCCAAGAATTGCCAGGACTTTTCAAGCCGGGAACGACTCCGAGGGACGCAGCCTGCAGATGTTCGAGAAAGACACTTTGCACTGAGGGTTGTCTGGACTTTAATGCTTTTTCTCAAAGGAAGCATTATGAAATAGAAGTCTATACTTTTTTTCCCCTGGTTACTTTGAAGCCCAGTTTAGGAGATTAGGAGGGGTCCTATGAAATCTCCTAAACCCCCAAACCCTTACACCCTTAAACCCTCATTCACGGGTCGGCGCGGGGTGCTGCTTTCCGAGAGACTCCAGAGCCTTCAGTCAGATTAAGACCCACGAGAGGATCCGTAAGAATTGAGTCCCCAAAAGAGGTATCCCAGTTTTGATATGGGCCAACATCGTGCTGTTGTCACGCGTTCCATGATTTGCGTCCGGTCACGTCTGTAGATGACTAGGGATGTTGGAGAACCTTTAATGCAGATCTTCTTAGGGTTAAGGTTCAGGGCGTAATCTGACTGCGAGACATGTTTGCTTCATGGAGATGGATTGCGGCATGGATTTCGCAGCAAGCGCCTAGAGTCTAAATTCCACAATATCCTGAATTCTCTGAACCCTTCAACATCTTGACAAGGCTTGCGTGCTTTTCGGCCTACATGGTTTCAAATCACCAATACTATTTTGGCGGTTCCGTCTTATAAGCATGGTAGAATACTGTAGACAAGACCCTGTTCTAGTTATCAAGGCAAGTATATTGTATCCGCCAAAGCCTCCCTCCACCTCTAGAATCCTGAGCCTCATCTCCCGACACTTTGAACGTTCAATACCTATCGTGTAGAGCGTTACAGGCGCTTTTGAAACAGTTGCTCTTATAGGGCTGTAGTGTGTCTGTAGAACTGTAATGTAGGCCTTGGATTAATACCCCCTCCCTCAGCAGTTATCATGCAATATCAGGATCGGAACTGGGGTTGCTAGTTATGTTCATCAGGGTGTCCAGTAGGGCTTTTGACTATCCTTTCGGCAAGGGTCTTGTGCAAAAAGACACGCAACTGTACAGGTAAAGTGTCAAGCGTTGTTCTTTGGCCTCGCTCCTAAAGCGGACCAGAAGCCTACATTAATGAATGTCCAATTCCTTCTGTCTTGTTGTTCAAGCCTAAACCCAAAGGAGAAGCCCAAATTCATTAATTTCCAGTTCCTTGTGTCTTGTTTCTCGAGCCGGATCCAGGAGCTTCTTGCCTGTCGTACCTCAACCTTGCAGTTGTACCATCGCGCAAAGGACTTTCAAGGACCTCCGATCCACCTTGTCCTTAAAGATCCTAAAACCCTAAACCCTAAACCCCCGGCCCTCGCACAAATCGAGAAGTGTACCAAGGCCCTCAAAAAAAACAACGGCCCTATCCCTCGAGCCTCTTCCTTGCTTTGGCGGCTCACAGGGCAAGCTCTAGTCTGCAATCATGGCGCCGAAAGGGAAGGGTGATGCCAAGAAGGCCGAAAAGGCCCAGTATCATGATTTGCTGCACTGTTGTTCAGTGCCATCTATCTCGAGTGTTTACTTCAAGATCAGAAGTGCTGACGATTCACCTCGCAATCTAGTCTAAATCAACAAATATAGAATACATACGGGTGCATATACATATACATGCACAGTTACACATTACACACATGCAAGTACATATGATATACATAACACTTTTACATACACATACACACAAACATATTCATATACGTATACATAGACGTACGCATAGACATACTCGTAATTGTTCACTCATACACGAATGCATATAGACATATACACATGCATATATATATATATATATACACCCATGCAGACACATGCAATGATGTATCTCATTTTTCTGTGACACATTCTTCTAGATAAAGCGATGTTGCTACTTGGGCTGGTTTGCACCCTCACTGACGCTTGTGCCCCGACACGTCGCTGTGCCGACCATTCCCTGACTCAACTCAACCCGTGCAGAGCCAATTGTAGAACTCTCAAAGAAGCATGAAGACCCTCAGAACCTTTGCGAGACCTGACAAAGACTTTGGAGAAGTCTCCTTTAAATCAAGCTCGAGAGAAACGCCTACGTAAACCCAAATCCCAAAACCCGAAACCCCGAACCCCTAAATCCCGAAATCCTTACACCCCAAACACATGTCCCCTATCTAAACCCAAAAAACCCCGCACCCTAATCCCAAATCCCAAGACCCCTTCTTACATCCAAATCCCGGCAGAGGCAGCAACCCTGAACCCCTAAACCCTAAATCCCTAAAACCCTAAACCCTAAAACCCCAAACCCTAAATCCCCGCAGAGGCCGCAAAGGCCGTGAAGGGCACCATCAGCTCCAAGGCCCTTTGGGCGGGGGCGGAGTTTGAGGGTGCCCTTTTCCCTAAGGGTCCATGTACCCAAATAGTAGAAATTTTGGCCTTAAAGTAGTCTCTATACAGGTACTTTGGGGCCAAAGTATATAGTATTTGGGTACATGGACCCTTAAGGTTTTCAGGGGGTTCGGGGTCTAGGGGTTCGCGGGGTTTAGGGGACCCGGAATTCCGGGTGCCCTTTTAAGGGGGTTGAGGGTTCGAGGGGTTTTGGGGTTTGGGGGGAATAGGGGTTCTCAGGGTTTAGGGTTTAGGCAAGCTTCGGTTTCAAGGGGTTTACGGTTTAGGCTTTTAGCAGTTTAGGGTTTAGGCAAGTTTAGCGGTTTAGGATTTAGGGGTTTAGGGTTCTTTGAAGGGTTGCAGTAAGGATTCTGCGGGGCGTTAAAGGGTTTCAGATGTTCTTCAAGTGTTCCTTTACGATGTGGTATATTCCCGGATTCGAGGGTGGTTGCAGTCTGAGGGTTTCTCGTGTCGGAGCAAACCTGCGGATGCCGGTCCACTGCATCAAGCATAAGCAGCTGGGGCCGGACAGTCTAGGGAAAGTTTGAGTTGCGGAGGTCTGCAGGATTTGTGGGCCGCTCATGAACCCAAAACCAAACCTCCAAATCATAACCTAGACTTGCTCGGAGCTTCGTCCGTAATATCAGCTATTTGAGTCAGAGCCGAATGGCTACGACAAGCTTTACGAAGGCTGTTTTAGTAGTAGTAACCCACTTCATATGTAGCTGGGCTCGTAATGCTGTATTCTGTGATGAGCGCGCGATACTGAAAGACGTGGTAGCATTCAGCAAGCTTTACATGTACCTGGATGCTTTGTAATGCTCGGTGCATGTAGTCGGATAGGTAGGAAGCCCTTCCCAGAGTTGGTGGTGACGTTTAAGGGCTCGGGGTCGGAGTTTTGATATGACCCTCAACACAAAATCGCGGCGACAGCCTATAACCCCAAGACCTACCTATAGGCTTATATTGTAAAGCCGATACACCCTTTGAAAACCCTAATGTGAGTGTTAGGGTATAACCCGGTTTATCTTCCCACTGGGTTCAAGGTTAAGGTTCCATAGTGAGGAAGCTATAAGCTTACTATAGGTCTCTATCATGGTAACTTCAAAACAAATTCCTAAACCCTCAACCGATATAGAAAGCCTTGCAGGATCCCTGAGCTATGTTTACAAGAGCCCAATGTTTCAGAGACTCCAATATCCCTTAATTAAGGAATATTCCTTAAATCATATTAGTGGTCCTACTATATTTTAAGGTATATTCCTTAATTAAGGGATATTGGAGTCTCTGGGGTTTCAGGCTTCGGAGTGAGCTAGTGAGTCAGACCAAGGACAGATCGGTTAATTACAGGGGCTCGTTTCAAAGTGGTCTAAAGGGGGACAAGGCTGGTTCTACGTGTTTTTTTGTTTAGGAATTCTGGGTTTAGGGCAGGAAGAGTTGGCTCTTCCAGTGATTTGTGCGTGTTCTGAAGGGCTTTGCAAGGGATCTGTAGCTAAGCGACCATCGCTCCTCGCAGTACGGCTTGTCCAGGCGAAGAAAATCCGGACGAAGGTTCGCTTCTATCGTCCGAAGACTCTGATCAAGGCCGCACAGACCGGGGATTGAGGTTCAGGGTCTTCAGAAGGGTTGCTATGAGGTTTCTAGAAGGGCCTCTACGCTCTTTACGGGCCTTGTCTTATTTTGTCAAGGACAATGTTCAGGAATTCACGATAAGGATCCGTAAAGAGGTAGGTTTTTTGGGGCTTTGCCCCCGGGTCACTAAAGAGGTAGGTTTTTGAGGCTTTGCCCTCGGGTTGTTGTGTAGGGTGTTAGGGTTACATCAG